GAGAGAGAGAGAGAGAGAGAGAGAGAGAGAGAGAGAGAGCGCGAGCTCTGAAGTCTTTCTTGATGGATTTTCAGGCTGTTGCATTCAGTCTCAGTGTGTGTTTATATTTTTTTCGCCATTATCTTCACTCCAGAATCAGTCCCAGGTGACACCCGTGGTGGAAAACACCTGCTGGGGCTCAGGGTGGGTGTGGAGAAGCGGGATTTCAACCTGGGAGACTCTAAATCTGACTTTTGGGCTGGGAGCTGAATTTGGAAGGCTGGGTGTGAGGCACTCACCACGAAACGTCCGGGCCCTCTCAGTCCCCCTTTTTAGGGGTGCGGGTGCCCCAAGGAGAGCGAGTGCTTTTCATCTTAGGGGATGAAGGCGGGGCTCCTCTCCCACCCCTTGGAGGGCTGGCTCCCCACAGCTGGGGGTTCAAGCCGCATGCCTGCCCCCTTCACCTGAAGAACGCTGAAAGCTGCTGAGACGGTTGCGTCCCAAGGCCCCCCTCCAGCCACAAGAGCGCCAGCGCCTCGACAGCGGTGCCCTGTACGCTTGCCCTCGAGCGCCCAAGGAACTCAGAGAATGGACGGGCCCTGAAGTGTCCCGCGTCCTTCCTACCGCAGAGACTTTCTCCATCTCCAGCGGTGGAGCTGATTCAAGGACCGGCAACCACAAGGGTGTCTGTTTCTGGGCCTGGGAACATACGGAGTTCCCCGAGAAGCATCCGGACCACACGGAGCCGGGAAGCTCAGGCCTGCCCGTGCTGTTGGAGTCAAACCCATCAACCCCAGCCAACATGGTCGGTGTAGCTTAGCAGCTGCCATCTGCTCCCTTCTGAACGGTCTATCAAGCCTCCCAAATGCTCTTCCCAGATGGGCCTGAACCGGAGACCATCGGCATGTCAAGCCTGCCCTTTGCCACAGAGCTGCGGCCCTTCCCCTAAAAAAGCAATGAAGGTTCTAGTCCTCATGGTCCTGCACAAAGGATGCTTCTGGTGGTTGGCCACGGCTGGGCAGCAGCCCCTTTCCAGGCGGCGGCTTTCGCTGGTCTCCCCCCGCCTCTTGGGCACCTCCTTACCCGCCAGGACTGAAGCTCGCGGCTGGACGGGCTCCCCGTCACCGGCAGGGGCGCCCCCAGCCCCGCCTGCAGCAACACCAGGAACACGGAGGCGCAGCGCCGAAGGGACACGGCCCGCATGGTGCCGGCTTCGCGGCCTCGGCCTCGGCGCTCGCTCGGCTCGGGCAGGGGAGCGGACGCGGATGCGCCTCTCGGTGGCCAGGTGCGCCCTTTATAAGCCCCGCCGAGGTGGCCCGCTTGCCGCTTCCAGCCGGCTGGGCCCCGCGGAGCGCGCCGCTTCGCCCGATTAGGGAACCGGCTCCATCCAGCGCGGCCGAGGCGAGGCTTGGGGAAGCGCGTCCCCGCCGCGCCCGCCGCGGTTGATGGAGCGACGGGCGCGCTGCTCCGGGGGCGCTTTGCCGCTCCCGCGACGCGCAGCGGCTACGGGCGCGCCGGCCCCTTTGGGGCGCTCCAGCCGCACTCGGGGGCCAAGCGCGGAGCCCCACCGGCCGCCCGGGCTTCGCGCTCGGGGCTTCGGAGGCGCCAGGCGGCACCTGCGGCGCTCGCCTCGCTTTGCGCGCTCGCTCCGTGCGCCCCTTTGCGCGCCCGTCGCTGCGCGCGGCGCCTTTGGCGAGCCCGGCGCGGACCCCCGCGGCGGCCTGCCCGGACCCTGCCCAAAGGGGCGCGGCGCCGGCAAGAGCCAGGCCGAGCCCCTGGGGACCCCCGCGCGCCCCTCTGCGCCCGAGTTGGGGCCCCGCTGCCTCGCCTCGCAGGCGGGAAGAGCCGCCCCTGCGCACGACGGAGGCCTCTGCCCTTCATCTCGGGCCCAGGCCGTCTTCAAAGGATGGCTTTCCTCTTTGATATGCTAATAGGGGATGAACAAGGCTCCCGCAGATGGGGGTCCAGAGCCTTTAATTGGGAGCCCTTTTATGTGTGGCGGGGAACTCTGCTCCCTCCCTGCGTTCATTTGCTTTGTTTGAATGCAAGAGGGCAGCCTTATAAGATGGCGTTCCGGCACGACCTCCTTTCCTCAGACAGATTTCTGCCCCAGCCTGGAGGGCACCCAGAAGGCAGCGTTTCAAACCGGAGTCCAAGCTAACTGAGAAAGCGGAGATCCGTGAACGGAGAGCTCTTGGCTGCAAGGTCTTGGGCAAGTCGCTAGTCCTCAGCCTTTCTCACCTCCTCCTCCTCGCTTATGTCCTTCGCCACCCGTGCTTGCAGCAAGGAGCCCAAGAAGGTGTGAGGGAACTCTGGCCTGTGGAAGGCTTCCCGGCAAAACTTCCCAGAGGATTTAGAAGTATCTCGATTGTATCTGCAGTGCAGTGGCTCTCTTGTCTCGGGCCTATTCTGTCATAGTTTCTTTCCACAGCCAAACGGCAGCTGGCTTTGCTTGCTTGCTTGCTCACAAGGTCTCCGGCCAGCTCTGATCTAATCTGGCATCCCGTTTCTCAGAGCAGCCAACATCCGATGCCCTCAAGAAGCCCCCACCAGGAAACAAGCGGAAAAGCCCTTCTTGTTTGGATTCCTGGAAACCATTCAAGGGGTACACTGCTCCTAAGCCTGGAGGCTCTACTTGCCCATTCAAACCTGCAGCCGATATGAATAGAAGTGCTTTCCAACTTCTGATAGATTTTCTTGATGGTGGCCCCCAAATTATACAACTCTCTCCCCAGTGTGGCCTGTTTCGGGTGTCATCTCTCGGGTGTAGGGTCAAATTTTTCCCGTGTTCCCAGGCATTTTACAGTATATGCTTAGGCATCTAACAGCTGCATGTACGGATCCTGTTTTCTTTGTTTTGTAAAGAATAGTTTGTCTTTAATGTTGTAACTTAGAGATAACGGCTCTGTGTTTATTGTCTTGTGTCTGGATTGTCACTCTGAAATGCCGGAGGGCTTCGGTTCTTGGGCAGAAACAGAAATGGGTTTTCCGCCCCCTCATGTGCAAACAGAGGTGTATCGAACAGAGACCTGTACCGATGAGCGGATAAAAGGCCAAGGATCAATCCAGAAGCACTCCTGATCGGCTAGAAAGCATGTTTATTTTCTCGATGACACCCTTGCAAACCTTCGTGTCAGTTCTGGGGACGTTGTCAAGCCTCCAAGGGCTGCCCTCTCTCATTTTTTCCCGGCCGTGCCTGAGCCCGCGTTCGAGCTCCCGCTGCCGCACCCTAAGCCGCTCGCCGACCCGATGCGGTCCAGCCGGGTGCCAAAGCAGCCGCCGCCGGGGCTGAGCCTTCTGTTCTTCCGCGGGGGTCCCGGGGGGGTGCGCCGGTCGCGGATGAACTCCTGAAATGTGCTCTGCGCGTCCTCTTCGCCCGGGGCTCCTGCGGCCAGGCTGGCATCCCGCCGGGGAACCTCGGAGCTGTCCGCGGACAACTTATTCTGGAGCGGAAATTCCTGGACAGGGGCGGGGAGAAGCAGAGCAGCAACGTCAGCAATGGCGCGCGCGGCTGACCGAGACGCGTCGCGACGTTCCCACTCCATGGGGGAGACTTTGGATGCGCATGTTCCCGGGCAGGACAGGTCTGAAGCTGCGGTGCAGGACTGCGGCCCCCGCGACCGGGGCGTGCGGCCCCCGGAGGGTGGGAGGGGCCAAAGGAAAGGGGTGGAGCCATCAGCTTACAACTTCTTTTGGGAACGGGGAGGACCAGTGCGGAAACTGGGCAAGCAACGAACGGTGGGGGGTGGGGTGGGGTGGCGTTCTGGGAAGCCGAGGAGGGCTGAGTGTATCCCGAGGGTCGTGCAACCATTTGGTGGTTGGGAGGGAGAATAAGATGGGGGGGGGTAGCCCTTAGGGAATCTTGGTGGGGCAAGATTCTGCACCCTGATCGAACCTGGCGACCTGTTTCCCAGAGTGACCATTTGCCGATGCCTTGAAACAGGAAGAAGCCTCCCTTGGTTCTGGTTCTCAGTAACTATTCGGGGTACATTGCTCCTGAACCTGGAGGTTCCACACACCCACTGTGCCTCACATCCACTTGATAACTGCTGGTTATCCAGGCTGAAAATATCACTCTGAGCTGAAAGGGCCTCACTTGTCCCGAGAAGCCTCAGCCAACAGAGGCTGGCAAAATAGCAAGGGAAAAAGACCCTTCGGGGGTGACCCCCAAATTATGGGGCACTTCCCCCTGCCTGTCTTATCAATACCAGGTCAAGAATTTGATGGCATAGGCCGAAACGTTTAATAGTGTTTTTCAAGTGTCTTATTTTAACCACTCAAAAAAATCTGGTTTAATATGTTCAAGATTTTTGGTTGTTTTTATGACGCTGTATTTCTGGGCTGCCATTCTGAAATGCGTAGAGGGCTTTGGTTCTCGGTAGGAATGGAAATGTGTTTCCCCCCATCCTCCATGTGCAAATTGATTTAAATTGAACAGAGACGCTTAACAAAACGGCCGGGGATCAATCCAGACAGCGCTCTTGACTGGCTGGTGCGTTTATTTATTTCTCTCAAAGGCAAGCTTGCAGAATTTTGCTCCATCTGGATGGAGGGTTTAGGGATTTAGGATCTCTTTGAGGATTTTGGGACGGGCGTCTACTTTTTCCCAGTGGAGCTCGATTCTTTGTTGGGGTCAAACTTGTTGCAGCCCATTCCACTGACATGGCCGATCCGGTCGATCTTTTGCCCGAAGCAGCTCCCTTCGGGTTGGATCCTTTTTTCCCGGGAAGCGAGAAGCATCTTGAAGGCAGGCTGCCGAAGAGCGTCTCCCGGGCCGGCTGCATCCTCCTCGTCCGCGGCTCTCGCAGCCACGTCCCCTTCCTGCCCCAGTGCCTGGGAATCTTCCTCGGACCGTCTAATCAAGGGCTTATACTTCTTTTATAGGGGAAGGGAGAGGGAAAGGGGCATTACAGCACGCGGTGAGATACTCTTAAAAACGGAAAGCAAAATGCCCCCTGCTTCCTCGCGTGGCGGAGCGTTTGGGGTGACGGACGTTCCCGAAACAGAGGCGGGGAACCTCTCGGCCCGAGGGCCGTGTCCCATGAGAGAACGGCCCTCGGGGGCCACCTCCCGGGGTGGGCGGGGCCAGGGAAAGGGGGCGGGGCCAAGGCCCCCGCAGATGCTGAAGCTCAAAGCTGCTGCGACCCGCCGGCCACTCAGCCACCGGAGCGGTGTTTCAAACTTGCTAGGATGCGGGAAGCTGCCAGCGGATTGGCTGGTTCGGGGACATGGGAGGAGCCAAGGAAAGGGGTGTGGCTTCTTCAGGATTCAGCCCCCTGTAGGGCCAGGTTTGGCCCCCAAAGGCTCTGCTGTGCTGGTCTGGATGGTGGAGGAAGACTCCCGTTAGGCCTGGCTATTGGCCACGCTAAATGGGGATGATGGGAGTTGTTGTCCAGCAGCCTCTGGAAGGGCCCCCAGAGCCCCCTACACCTGAACTTGCTAGGTTCTATTCAACATAATCGAAAAAGCCAGGGAAATGTGGCTTATAGTCTGCAAAGACAAACAAACCTCAGCTTGGTTGGTTATTATTAATAATATTAATTTTAAAGGGGAGAACTCTAGAACAGTTGCATGTTTGATTGTGTATTTCTGATGTTTCTCTCCCACCTTTTCCCCTGCAATGATACCCTCATCTTACGATCTTCCTCTTCTCACAACAACCCTGTGAGGTTGCTTCGGCTGGGAGGCAGTCACAGGCTCCAGCTTATATCCCACAAGCTTCATGGCCAAGCCAGGACTAGATCACCCGAGTCCCATTCCAACGCTCTAACCAGTGGGCCATACCACCATTCACAACAACCCTGTAAGGTAGGCCAGGCTGCAAGTGAGCAACTGGCCCCAAATCACCAGTGAGCTCCATGGGGTTGGGAAAGCCCAAAGAAATCCTCAAATAAACGATATGTATTTACACAGACTTTAAGATAAGATCTGGGAGCAGTGCTCTCGCCCGTCTCCACTCAAAGGGACTGGAACAAACCACCTGGGAAGTGGCACCTCCTTTGCACTGCAAAATTACCCAGCCTCACACGTGGGAAGCAATTCTGAGCCTCTGAGTGCAAAACTCACAGCTCTTTAAACCTGCTCGATTTTTGTGACTCCCGATTTGTTATCTGCTGCCAAAACCTTCTCTGCGTTCCCGTATTACTCCAGATTCTCCTCGCTTGCTCACCCTTTTGGGACCTCATCACTTCCTTGAAACTGTGTGAGCCTGGGACTCACAACCTTAAAAAAAAACTCTGCCTGGGCTCCGGAAGCTTGTAGTTGGTGGGGCTGTTGCAAGCTCGATCTCTGCACGGGGGTTTTCCTGGGTGCCCCCGCCCATAAAACTGGGGGTCTGAGTACATTTCTCCCTGGCGGCTAAACCGGGGCTCCCTGCCGTGGCCCAGTGGGGACCGGAACCGGGGTCTCCCACGTCGCAGTCCAGCTCCGCGCCTTTAAAAGCACCTCCCTCGCTGGCTGGAAACCTGCTGGGCTCGGAGCGTCTTACCTGGCCTGGCCTGGCTGGATGGGCCGCCCCTTGGTCTTGCACGAGGAGCGCCAGCAGGAGCACGAGGGAGCCGGCGCGCACGAGCCTGGGGTCCATCCTGCACGGCCTGCGCTGGGGCGGGGGGTCCGGGGACGCTGTTCCAGTCCTTCGCCCGTGGAGGGTGAGCTGCTCTGCCCCGGAGCGGCTTTTATGTCCCCGGTGGCTCCTCCCAAGGCACCTCCGAGCCCCTGGAAGACGCCCAAGGAGCCGTGCCAGTGGGACGCATCATTGGCCAGCCCGAGGAAACCGACGGAGCGTGCGTGCTGGCCCTCGCCCTCGCCCTCGCTCTCCCAGCAGGCAAAATGCTCCCCGTTTCAGCGGAAGACCACGGTGCAGAGCGAGCAAGTTTGCACTCTGCCAATACTGGTCTTCTCTGCACACTGTTGGTCTTATTCGCACACTTCTCGTCTTATTCGCACACCTTTGGTCTTATCTGTACACTTTTCATCTTATTCGCACACCTTTGGTCTTATCTGCACACCTGTGGTCTTATCTGCACGCTTTTGGTCTTATTTGCACACATTTTGTCTTATCCGCACACTTTTGGTCTTATCCGCACACTTTTGGTCTTCAGCCCCTTGCACTGAACTTGGTCGCCTGCGTAGAGCTCAGATCGCTGGGTGTGGGGCTCCTTCGCTCAGGGGCTTGTGCCCGGTTTTCTGCTGCAACGGTGCATTTCACAAATGACGGACGGACAGACGTGGGGAGGAAGCCACCTGGCCAGAGTTGCAGGTGGGTGAGATGTCCAGGGCCCAAGTGACCAAATCACAGATTTCTACCTCTGCAAAGCAACAGAAAATACCCGTTTCTCAGCAGGTGATGCTCGGAAGACACACACATTTGTGCACTGGGCGAAATGCACCCCGCATGCCGACACAAAACTCAGGCAAAGCACACAACACCCCGCAACAAGCCCACATGGAACATGGACCCTGGCGACTTACTCTGAAGTGTGTGTGTTTTTATTTATCTGACTTACAATTGTAATATGCTGCTCTAAATGGATTCTCGTGAGAGGAATGATCCAAGGTAAGTAAACCAGACCACCTTGTTAACAGTTTATCCATGGCTCAGCTCGTCTGAACACAGTCACTAAGCTCCGCTGGGGCTTTCTCCCAGGGAAAGAGGTCCAAGACGGTTGCTCGTGGGCCTTCCCTCCGTTTCTTCTCCCCTCCGCAATGCGGGATGAAACCGCTGATGTAGTTGCATGCATGAGGACTAGCAACTTGACTTTCCTGTTGTTTTGAAAGGAAGGTGGGTATTTTCCGAGAAAAGGTGTTTTCCGTCTGTGATCGCGAGCTGCATCCCCTCGCCCAGCCTCAGCCCTCTCTGAGAATGGCAACATCATTATGCGCCACCCGGAGCATCCCTCGGAGAGCCCACGACACCGGCACACCCGCTGGGAAGGACACAGCATGCCGGTTAATTAGGCGCAGCTGGCAGGGCCTCGAATTAGCTTCAGACACTGGAGATTAATTTTTCACCGTGGCTCGCCGGAGAATGGCGTTGGCCTGGATCTGGCTTCTTGTAGTTCACGCCCATCATTCCGTGTCCGGCACTCTGGCATCAGCGAGAAGAGATCCTGACCTTCCTCTTTGTGGCAGCCTTTGAGGTGCTTTTAGAGGGATCTCATGTCCCCCCTCGGTCTTCTCTTCTCCAGGCTGAACACACACAGTTCTCCCAGTCTCTCCTCAGTGTTCCCAAACCCTGGATCATCTTTGTTGCCCTCCGCTGGACCCTTCCTGATTTACCTGCATCTTCCTGATTTACCTGCATCTTGGTGCCCAGGACTGGACCCAGGATTCCAGGTGAGGGCTGCCTAGGGAGGAGTACAGAGGGCCCAGACCCTTTGCTTGTGTCCGCAGGTGGCTCGTCTCCCTTTGCCGCCCCCGCAGAGCAGGCTGAGGCGTCAGCAGGTAATGAAAGCTGAAGGCGTCCCATCGGCGGAGGGCCGGAGGGCAGCAGGCCGGTTTGGCCGGGTAATTAGCCGCTGAGACAGTGATGCTGGGCGGTGAACCTTGGCGTGGCCCGACAGCTCTGGGGACGGGGACGGAGACCCGGGCACCGGAGCAAAAATGTTAATATGCCATAATAAGGGCCGGGGGCACCTGCTCCTGGCATCCCGCATTGCGTGACGTCACCGGTCTTTGGAAGTGGGGGCCGGCCATGCCCAGGCGGGGAGGGGCGGCAAAGGGTGCTTGTGGGGGAGGCTTGGAAAGGGCTCCCGGAGTTAATGACGCGGGAGCAACGGCAGAGCGGCCAGGCGAGCTGGCTGCTGAAGCCCGGCCATCCGCCTTCCTACCGGAAGCGGGTAGTTAAGGCGAGGCGTGGGCAGATCTGGGGCTCGGCAGCTTGCTGGCTACGGCCCCCCACAGCCCCCGGCCACACAGGCACTGGGGAGGGACGAGGGGCTGCCGGTCACGAGCCGAGTCTCCCCGGAGGTGCCGTCCGGAGGATGCCTCGGCCGTCGATGGCAGGGCCCTTCCCAGGCGCCGTGGCCCCGCTGCCTTGGCCTGCGGGCCTGCCCCCAAAACCGAAGCGTTTCTCGGGCCGCTGCAGGGCGTTTCTTGCCGATTTGCCCTGTTCTTGGCACACGCGGAGCCGCTGTGGGCTCTTTGGCGCTCAACCGCGGGTCGGAGGTTGTTCTGGGGCGCCGGGCTGGACGGCCGAGGGCTCGGATTAGGTGCGTCAGGCCCGTTCCTCGCGTTTTGCTGACGTTAATGCAGCCCAGCGGGCCGCCGGCGGCGCGGCCGAGTTCCGGTCCAGCGAAGACGAGCGCCATCAGCGGCGATTAAGCCCCAGGCGCGCAGAGACGGTCCCGCTCGGTGGCGGGCGAAGGGGACCGCGCTCAGAAATAGGGGGTGGAAAAGCTTTCGACAAAGCAAATGCCCCTTTGCAGGCGGATGCTGGTGGAGGTCAGCATCTCGCTTTGCAGCGAGCCCGTTGCACGGCTTTTATAATAATGAATATTACATATATTATCATCTTATAAAACCCCCGATGAGTGTCGGTCTGTCCGGCTGCCGCTCCACAGGGCCTTCACGGCGCTACCCGGAACATGTCATGAGTGCAAAGGGGAACTTGGGGGCTTGCAGCTTGGTTTGTTCCGGTTTTAACAGGCATCGATTAATTGACAAACCTCAGAGTGTCTGTCTGCGGTTGACGCACGCAGTAACAGCTTTAGCCAGTAGTGGGCAGGCTTCTGGTGCCGGACGTGCCTCAGGGGGGAGCTCAGTCCACAATGGGGGGCTGCCACCGAGCAGGCCGTCTCCTTGTTGCCCCCCGCCGAGTCCCCCTTGGGGTGCCATTTGGAGGGAGCCCCAGGCTCGCCGTTACAGGGAGGGCTGCTCCTCGGGAGTCGCGGGCCCAGCCACGCCGGGCTGTCGAGGTTAAAAGCGGCAGTCCAGCAGGCTCAGGGCCAACCTGGCTCAATCCAAGAAGCTTGGGAGGAACTGGAGGCGGCTGGGCGCTCGGAATGGTGTTTGTGGTCACACTGGTACTCCTGGGACACCGCACAGGCGCTCGGGAAGCTCCTGGAAATGTCTAGAACCAGGAATCGCCGTGCCCACCCTCCCTGCTCTTCCGGGGTCCTTCCCCCAGCTTTCGGATTTGCCCGCTGCCTCCGGTGCCGTGGCTTTTAAATGATTCCTCTCCAGCCCCTTAATGAGCCAGATGGCACTGCAGCCCTCCTCTCCTCGGGAAATGTGAAGAGGGCTTCTGGGGGGCGCTGACCCCCGACACACGATGCGTCACCGAGTGCGGCTGTGCACAGCACAGCTGTGTTCTGATCGGGTCCGTAGCCCACGGGGGCGGCGGGTCAAAGCTTCCCTTGATGGATTATACATGCATCGATTTTTTTGTACCAAGAGACCTCTTCGCATAATGAAGTCCCAAAATGGCTTAGACCGAGCAGTGATAACATCTCCAACTAAAGCACAAGTAACACCAAATTTCTGCTGCTGTAACTTTGCAAGGAAGAACAAGCTGGAGGTGTGACAATTCGCTCGGAGGTGCCGTCTTCCCTCTGTGATGCGCACCGGGCTCGTCGGAAGACATTATTCCTTCCCCGTGCGTGTCAAAACGTGTTGCTTTTAAACTGAGCTCAAAATCATGCTCCTAGCTTCTAGTAGGCAGTAGGACAGGAGGGGGGGCCTCTTGAGGGGGGGCAGAGCAGTGGTGGGTGTGGCTAAAGGAAAAGGGGTGGGGTCAAATAGAAAAAAATACCCCTATCTTGTTGCTTGCAATGTATGGCTGGGGAAGCTGGACCATAAGGAAGGCTGAGTGCCGAAGAATCGAGGCCTCTGAATTGTGGTGCTGGCGGAGACTCCTGCCAGTCCCTTGGACCGCAAGGCGATCCAACCGGTCAGTCCTGGAGGAGATCAGCCCCGGCTGCTCTTTAGAAGGCCGGATCCTGAAGATGAAGCTCAAATGCTTTGGCCACCTGATGAGGAGGAAGGACTCCCTGGAGAAGAGCCTCATGCTGGGAACAATAGATGGCAAAAGGAGAAGGGGGCGGCAGAGGATGAGGTGGCTGGATGGGGTCACTGGGGCTTGGGTGGACTCCGGGAGAAGGTGGAGGACAGGAAGACCTGGAGGAGTGTTGTCCATGGGGTCGCGATGGGTCAGGGACGACTCCGCAACTAACAACACCAACACCTTGTTGCGTGGAGGCCTTCAAGCCATAGAATGGTGGGGAAACATGCCAAGTCGCGGGTCGGGGGAGCTCCAAAGGGATCAACCCCCAATAAGCTCCGTTGCGGCACATCTCAGAAAAATCCGTTCCGGTTTCGGAAAGCCAGTTCCGGCGAGATATCAGGAAAAAATTCTGGACTGTTCGAGAAGTCCGGCAATGGAAGCAATTACCTGGGGAGGTGGGGGGCTCTCCCACCCTGGAGGCCTCCAGGCTGCAACTGGGCAGCCCCCTGAGAGGGGCGGTGTAACTGGGAGCCCTGCTCTGAGCAGAGGGCTGGCCCCAGTGGCCCTCTGGCCCCTTCCAGCTCTACGAGTCCATGACTTTCGTGGAGCGAACTGGGCCAGGAAGAGTCCCGTGACCTGGCGGCTGGACGGGGACCAGCGACCGGGTGTCCCAAGCCCCAGCCTGCTGTCCTGTGCGCCCCGCCGTATATTTCTGCTGCTGGTCAGTCTTTCCAACGAAGCCGGAGTTGGGCAGCGCTTGTGCCCGGCTTGCTGGCCGGAGGCTCTCGGGAAATTGAAG